CAACAGCCAGGAGCAAAGATGATGTTTTTTTTTCTCATCTCTCCTGTTTTGTAACGACCAACAGAGCCATTGGGCTGGTATTTTGTACTGAGGTATCTCCTATTTTTGAAGGAAATAAATGTGGTTGGGTTTTGGGGTGATTTTCTTCCATTTCTTGGGGTGGTAGGGGTGTGTGTTGGGTTTGGCCTCAGCCACACCAGGATCTCTTCCCTTGGAAGCATCTGGGTGTTGGAAAGAACATCCTCCTCCCTCCCCAAGGCTTTCCCAACAACCAGGAACAAAGATGATGGGTTTTTTTCCCCATCTCTCCTATTTTGTAACGACCAACAGAGCCATTGGGATGCTATTTTGTACTAAGATAATAGCTTATTTTTGAAGGAAATAAATGTGGTTGGTTTTTTGTGGATTTTTTTTCCATTTCTTGGGGGGGTTTGGCCTCAACCACACCAGGATCTCTTATCTTGGAGGCATCCAGGGCTTGGAAAGAAAGTGTCCCTCCCCTCTCCTCAAAGCTTTCCCAACAGCCAGGAGCAAAGATGATGTTTTTTTTTCTCATCTCTCCTGTTTTGTAACGACCAACAGAGCCATTGGGCTGGTATTTTGTACTGAGGTATCTCCTATTTTTGAAGGAAATAAATGTGGTTGGGTTTTGGGGTGATTTTCTTCCATTTCTTGGGGTGGTAGGGGTGTGTGTTGGGTTTGGCCTCAGCCACACCAGGATCTCTTCCCTTGGAAGCATCTGGGTGTTGGAAAGAACATCCTCCTCCCTCCCCAAGGCTTTCCCAACAACCAGGAACAAAGATGATGGGTTTTTTTCCCCATCTCTCCTATTTTGTAACGACCAACAGAGCCATTGGGATGCTATTTTGTACTAAGATAATAGCTTATTTTTGAAGGAAATAAATGTGGTTGGTTTTTTGTGGATTTTTTTTCCATTTCTTGGGGGGGTTTGGCCTCAACCACACCAGGATCTCTTATCTTGGAGGCATCCAGGGCTTGGAAAGAAAGTGTCCCTCCCCTCTCCTCAAAGCTTTCCCAACAGCCAGGAGCAAAGATGATGTTTTTTTTTCTCATCTCTCCTGTTTTGTAACGACCAACAGAGCCATTGGGCTGGTATTTTGTACTGAGGTATCTCCTATTTTTGAAGGAAATAAATGTGGTTGGGTTTTGGGGTGATTTTCTTCCATTTCTTGGGGTGGTAGGGGTGTGTGTTGGGTTTGGCCTCAGCCACACCAGGATCTCTTCCCTTGGAAGCATCTGGGTGTTGGAAAGAACATCCTCCTCCCTCCCCAAGGCTTTCCCAACAACCAGGAACAAAGATGATGGGTTTTTTTCCCCATCTCTCCTATTTTGTAACGACCAACAGAGCCATTGGGATGCTATTTTGTACTAAGATAATAGCTTATTTTTGAAGGAAATAAATGTGGTTGGTTTTTTGTGGATTTTTTTTCCATTTCTTGGGGGGGTTTGGCCTCAACCACACCAGGATCTCTTATCTTGGAGGCATCCAGGGCTTGGAAAGAAAGTGTCCCTCCCCTCTCCTCAAAGCTTTCCCAACAGCCAGGAGCAAAGATGATGTTTTTTTTTCTCATCTCTCCTGTTTTGTAACGACCAACAGAGCCATTGGGCTGGTATTTTGTACTGAGGTATCTCCTATTTTTGAAGGAAATAAATGTGGTTGGGTTTTGGGGTGATTTTCTTCCATTTCTTGGGGTGGTAGGGGTGTGTGTTGGGTTTGGCCTCAGCCACACCAGGATCTCTTCCCTTGGAAGCATCTGGGTGTTGGAAAGAACATCCTCCTCCCTCCCCAAGGCTTTCCCAACAACCAGGAACAAAGATGATGGGTTTTTTTCCCCATCTCTCCTATTTTGTAACGACCAACAGAGCCATTGGGATGCTATTTTGTACTAAGATAATAGCTTATTTTTGAAGGAAATAAATGTGGTTGGTTTTTTGTGGATTTTTTTTCCATTTCTTGGGGGGGTTTGGCCTCAACCACACCAGGATCTCTTATCTTGGAGGCATCCAGGGCTTGGAAAGAAAGTGTCCCTCCCCTCTCCTCAAAGCTTTCCCAACAGCCAGGAGCAAAGATGATGTTTTTTTTTTCTCATCTCTCCTATTTTGTAACGACCAACAGAGCCATTGGGATGGTATTTTGTACTGAGATATCACCTATTTTTGAAGGAAATAAATGTGGTTGGGTTTTGGGGCGATTTTCTTCCATTTCTTGGGGTGGAGGGGTGTGTGTTGGGTTTGACCTCAGCCACACCAGGATCTCTTCCCTTGGAGGCATCTGGGGGTTGGGAAGAACGTCCTCCTGCCTCCCTGAGGCTTTCCCAACAACCAGGAACAAAGATGATGGGTTTTTTTCTCATCTCTCCTATTTTGTAACGACCAACAGAGCCATTGGGCTGGTATTTTGTACTGAGATATCTCCTATTTTTGAAGGAAATAAATGTGGTTGGGTTTGGGGGATTTTTTTTCCATTTCTCGGGGGGGTTTGGCCTCAACCACACCAGGATCTCTTGCCTTGGAGGCATCTGTGGGTTGGGAAGAACGTGCCCCCCCTCCCTCCCTGAGGCTTTCCCAACAGCCAGGAGCAAAGATGATGGGGTTTTTCTCATCTCTCCTACTTTGTAACAACCAACAGAGCCATTGGGCTGGCATTTTGTACTGAGATATCGCCTATTTTTGAAGGAAATAAATGTGGTTGGTTTTGGGGCGATTTTCTTCCATTTCTTGGGGTGGTGGGGAGGGGGTGTTGGGTTTGACCTCAGCCATAGCAAGATCTCTTCCCTTGGAGGCATCTGGGAGTTGGAAAGAACATCCTCCCCCCTCCCCAAGGCTTTCCCAACAGCCAGGAACAAAGATAATGGGTTTTTTTCCCCATCTCTCCTATTTTGTAACAACCCTCAGAGCCATTGGGATGGTATTTTGCCTATTTTTGAAGGAAATAAATGTGGTTGGGTTTTGGGGATTTTTTTTTTCTCCATTTCTCAGGGGGGGTTGACCTCAACCACACCAGGATCTCTTACGTTGGAGGCATCCGGGGTTTGGGAAGAATGTGTCCCCCACCTCCTTCCCAAGGCTTTCCCAACAACCAGGAACAAAGATGATGGGTTTTTTTTTCCATCTCTCCTATTTTGTAATGACCAACAGAGCCATTGGGCTGGTATTTTGTACTGAGATATTGCCTATTTTTGAAGGAAATAAATGTGGTTGGTTTTGGGGTGATTTTCTTCCATTTCTTGGGGTGGTGGTGGGGAGGGGGTGTTGGGTTTGACCTCAGCTACAGCAAGATCTCTTCCCTTGGAGGCATCTGTGGGTTGGGAAGAATGTCCTCCTGCCTCCCTGGGGCTTTCCCAACAACCAGGAGCAAAGATGATGGGTTTTTTTTTCCCATCTCTCCTATTTTGTAACGACCAAAAAAGCCATTGGGATGGTATTTTGTACTGAGATATCGCCTATTTTTGAAGGAAATAAATGTGGTTGGGTTTGGGGGGGATTTTCTTCCATTTCTTGGGGTGGAGGGGGAGGTTTGGCCTCAAGATCTCGTCCCTTGGAGGCATCTGGGGGTGGGGGGAGAATTTCTTCCCCCCCGAGGAAGCAGCACGGCACAGCCCCGGTTGCACTAGGGATGGAGATCGCTTTTATTTAGTCACTCGAGTGCTTTAGTACAGAAGAACAGATATACAGAGATGATACATGTTTGTGCTTCAACACTTTCAAACATTTAGATTCCAGTAATTTCAAGGTAAACAAGTTCCAAGACAGACTAGATTAATTTTTTTTTTTTTTTTGAAGTTTTCCTTTTTGATAAATTATTTTTTATATAAATAACTGTAACAGAAAAAAAAAAATAATAATAATGTCCAACATACAAGATCCTGAAGCATTTGCATTGCTAAACCCAGAAGGAACTCAAACAGGGCGGGAGGACCAAGGGGGAACCAACAAATATCAGTGCAATGATACAGCCTTTGCCCTAAAAATATATATTTAACTTTATGGGCAAGGAACAGACGGGGAAGGAAAAGAAGGCGGGGGGGGGGGACGACTAACCACCAACG